TACCTTGTTAGCAATGTGAAATAGGCTCTTTGCTCACTTTCTGAATGCTTATGAGTGAGAAGACTGAAGTAATTTGTGTAATGCTAAAATTATATTACTTCTCTGGCAAGCCAAGCCTTGTCTGGAGATGTGGGACTTCCTGGCGTGCTCAGTGTGAGCTCTGCTCAAGAACCTTAAGAATCAAAGGCATTGCATGACCTTCAGTCATGTTACTCCTGAAGAAGCTTTCAGGGGAGGATGAAGCAAAGCAGAGTTCTGCTACGCTATATAATTTCAGTCTTTCCACTCTTTGGCCCTGCACTACAAGAAGCTGCTTTCTTCCCTCTGGCTCTGTGATGAGGTGAACAAGATGATTAGCACTGTGACCTTATCTCACGTAGCGTTATTCTCAAAGCTGTGCTGTGTACATTAGTATATATGTAGCCTTCCTTTTGTTAAGAAAATGGGAGAAAACTGCAGGTTTGCATTTGGTTATGCTGTGACTGTGAACACCATAATGATGCTAAACAATGGAGTTCTGTTTAGATACACTTAATCATGAGGCACTTTTGTGCATGAGGCTTTTTCATAGAAAGTTTGAGAGCACAAAATGCTTCAGAAGAGCTGACAGTCACTAAGATTAATGCATTGCTTTTCTGTCCTGTCCTGTCAGTCAGGGCTCTCTGTAGTGAGAACTGATTTCAGAGGAGAACTAAACCATGTTTGCCATTTACCTCTGAACTGTGTGACATTGGCTGAAGTCATAGCTTTGTTATCACCAATGTCCTTTATTGAAAAATCCATGGAGGGCGCCTCTCCAGCAAGAATGCGCGACTACTCAGGAGCTTCCAGGCTGTCAAATCTTCATTTTGAAGGAAGGATGGTAAAATATTAGAAGCCACAGGGAGAAGGACAAACTGTGGATTAGAAAACAAAGCTTTTGAGCAAGTTTTTAATCTGAATTTAGCTTAATCTCTGAATCAATTTTCATATTATTCTGCTGATGTTGCTATTTACTGCAGGGACAGTAGTGTACCATGAATTATTGCATGGCTAATAAAGTAATTCTGTACTAATGCTGATAAAGCTATAATAATCTCTTCCTCTATATTCATTGTGAGCTTTTTTTTTTTTTTTTCCCCAGAGAACTGTCTGGTTTCCTTGAGTATAATTGATAGCCAAGTGCCCTGACTTTACATTGTTAGATTACATTAGTCAAATTTAAACCCTCCATTAGATGTCAATGAACTGTAACCGTTGTGACCGCATGGTTATTGACCCAGGTGCAAATAGCCAGTGCCCAATTTAAAGGTTCAGTTCTGACAAATGGGTTAGAATAATGAAACCATGATGGGAGGTGGTTGGGTGCTTCACTGACTAATTGAACAGGATACTTGCAGTTTGTTCTATGATACATGATTTTTCACAGCCACAGGTGAGTAAAAAGTCTATCACGTTTAATGTTTCAGAGTTAACTGATAAAACCCTCTGAATGGAAAGATACCTAGGTTTTTCTTTCAGAACAAATTAAACTGAATGCAGAATTCCCTTTGCATAGTTAGTGTTTGGTTTTGGTTGGTTTCTGGCTTTATTTTTTATTTGATTGGGACTGTTTGAAGAACAAGACTTTCAACTTCTATTTTGAATCATAATGTCTTTCAGCATGTATGCTATCAATATCTGAAAACCTAGTTTAAAGGAAAAGGAAGGATAGTACTTTCAGGAGCAGTTGTAACTTGGGGATTGTTTGTTTGGTTTTTTCCCCCCTACTCCTCCTTTATGTTAAATAAAGATCTGATCTGAATAAAGATGTGTTTTGAAAAAGATTTCAAAGGGCTTTGGATCAGATCCTAACTTTACTTCATTCTACAGGATATGTTCCTTTGGGAGCCTTTTCCAAGTATTACTTGTTTAAATCTGGATTTTGAGATCCTTAAGGATGTTTGTTTATCAAAAATCCAGCAGCCACACCTTAATTGACTAGAGTGAAATACTTTTCTGCTTTAGTGCGGTTTCTGGGGTACTCTCTGCTGCTCTGAGTTTGTATTATTTTGCACACAGAGGGGTAGATGGGATGATATAATATCTTCTGCAATCTCTGATTTCTATTATTTAAGTAATTTTTAATGCAGACATTGGCTACAGTATTTTTCAACTTCTTGTAAGTGATCCCTGGTTAAACATTCAGACCCTGAGAAAGGCTATTTTAGCATTATCATAGAATAGTCAGGGTTGGAAAGGACCTTAAGATCACCTAGTTCCAACCCCCCTGCCATGAGCAGGGACACCACACACTAAACTATGTCGCCCAAGGCTTTGTCCAACTGGCCTTGAACACTGCCAGGGTTGGAGCATTCACAACTTCCTTGGGCAACCTATTCCAGTGCCTCACCACCCTCACTGTGAAGAACTTCTTCCTTATATCTAATCTAAACTTCCCCGGTTTAAGTTTGAACCCATTACCCCTTGTCCCACCACTACAGTCCCTGACGAAGAGGCCCTCCCCAGTATCCTTATAGGCCCCCTTCAGATACTGGAAGGCTGCTATGATGTCTCCATGCAGCCTTCTCTTCTCCAGGCTGAACAGCCCCAACTTTCAAATAAGAAATAGTGGATGGAGAGTGACTTTGCTTCCCATATCTTTGCCTTCTTCATCAGCTTACAGTATGACATTATCCATTATCTTTCTGAAGTAGAAATGCAGTGGGGGTGTTTTTTAACCAATTCATAGTTTTTCACTGGGAGCCACATTCAGTACTATGGTTCAAATGGTTTCCATCATGTAATTTAAGTAGGTTGTACTTCTGTGAAGTCGTGAAGTGTTTTAAAGCTGCTGGCATATGTAACACCACCCTTAAAGTTTAGATTTGATAACAGAACAGCTAGGAACATTGCTTCTTTACTGCAGCAGAACACATTTCCATAATCAAGGTGACATTTCCAATTATACTAATTTCAGTGTAAAATCAAGGGTTTGTCTATTAGCTCAGCTTTCTTTATACATTACTTGTGTGCTAAACAGTGCAAAGTAGTCAGTACTAGATCTGGAAGCCAATGATGGTTTCATGTTTAAAGGATACATTGCTAGTAAAATTACCATTGTGGTGAACTATCTTTTTGCAGAAGAAAATATGAGTGAATGGTTGCAGTTGGTGTCTTCAGGGTATTATTAATGCAGCCAATGATGCTTTAACAATTTGAATCAAAAATCTGAAAAGCTTTAACAAAGATACAAGCATTGTGATTTGATTATTCATTGTCACAGATGGCTTTCTTTGAAATTTATTAATTCATGTTTTTTAACTGTGTCCTTCCTAAAAACATATACTTAAGGTACAAAAGCTGGCCAGCCTTAGGCCACTTGCATGTAAAAGTTGTGTTTCCCTCAGAAGCATGTCTCTGTGAAAAGCTCTGCAGTCTGTGCTACTATTGTCAAACTTCTTTGAAAATGGAGCAAAAAGTCTGTGTTTTCAGATCTTGAGCTCCAACTTCATAAATTAACATGTAAATTACATGAATTAACATGTAAAAAAAGTTGCCTTAAGGATGTGATCACTGACAAAAGTGCCAAAAATGAGCTGAGAAACTTTTTTTCTTTTTTTTCCTTGAGAAACTTCTGGACCTCTAGGATAATTTGAACAACCTTTTTTTTTTTTTTTTTTTTTTTTTTTTTTGAGATCTTCTGTTTGAGACTATTTCAGTCAATCAGACACAGCAAAAGGCAGGAGGGAAGGAGCAGAATAAGCTTTGTGTTTTCACTGAAGAACTGAGTGAAATTTTTTTCCCACGTTGGGAAAACTGTCACTAATCTTCAGTGGAAATGCAATCTGAAGGGACTTAAAACTGCCAGGAATATATGCTTGCTCATTTATTTCAATCTAAACTGAATAATGTCATCTGGGAATTAAGACCTCATTAAATCCTCTTCCATATGTTTGATGCAAATCCAACTGACTTGAAATTTGATGATTGAAGATAGGTCCCATGTAAAACAGTGATACATACATGATGCTTGCTTTCTGGTCAGAAACAGGCGTTACATGCTTTCTGTTATATAAAAGAGCAGAAAGAGAGCTTGGAAATGTGCACATGGTGAGAGACTTTAATTAAGGAAGTACCATGTCTTGTTCAGCCCATTTGTCATCTGTCTCAGAGAATGGAAAAAATATGATCAAAATTGTAATTTTTTTTCACTGTATGAGGGGATGAATTAAAAGCACCCATGAGTTTATGTTGGGACTGTTCTAGTCCTGGCCAGACATTTTGCTACTGCAGTGGTGATTTGGCTTTACACATTTTCTTAGGGAGAGAACTTGAGTCACAATTCAGGGGGTTGCAGAATGTGAGAGGGTTGGAATTTACCAACCAGTGGATGAATATATTGGCTGTGGTCATCAGGAACTCTTAGTCAAGAAAAGCTACATCCATAGAGTAGCAAGAAATGAACCAATTTCCACATATACTGATTGAAGTTCTGCAGAGGTCTGTCTTGCTTCTGGTGTAATCCTGTAATATTGATAATGATGTGGATTACACAGCGGAGAATATCCTTATTAAATTTGATCATGACATAAGGGCAGGGCAGACTGTAGATACGCTGAAGAACAGTACTAGAAGTCAAAATCCCCTTAACAAATGGGTAAAATGTGCTGAAAAATGTAAGGTGCTATTAAATATGGACAATAACAGGCAGGATTAATCAACTGTAAAAATACAGATTGGAAAAGAACTGGCTCTGTAGCAAATTGTTTCTAAACAATGAATGACATTGAAGTCCTTCAGAGGCCTTGCATTTGGGATGAGTTGGGCATTCTTCTCCGAGATGTTTTCTGCACTGGGACATGTATTCTGTTACAACTTGTGCTGTAATCAGTGGCATTGTCCTGGGATAATGAGGGCAAAACTGAGGTAAACAGGAGTTTAATGTGATATTGTTTTATGTTCACAGACAAACGTATGCTGATATGCACCTCCCCACCCCCATCTCTCTTCAGAACTTCTGATTTAAGCAACTAATCATCATGTCTGACCCCGTTGTTCTGCGTAGCATCAAGAGATTGGGAGAGGATAACTGTGCTTTTGACTTGCATGGCAAAAGTAAGTGTTTTATTCTTCAGCCATCTCCTTATTTTATGCAGCATGTAAAGTAGGTGGTGGGTGGCCTAAGTGGAGCAAATTGTCTACAGAATACAAAGTAAAGTGTCTGTGGAATAAGTATAGCATTATATGGTACCTGCTGTTATGGGTATGCTGCCTGCAAAACAACTTTTCTGTAAAAATTGTGTATAACAGTCCCTACTCATGGACAATCTACAAGTTATCAGCCTTCAAGTTCATGGTATCCACCTAGGTTTTTATACTCAGCGCTTTGGTGTACAAGTAAAAGGCCTTTACTCGGGGAAAAAAAAGGAAAAGTCCTGTCTTCTATCGTGCCTAGAACTGCTTTCAACGAGCACATATATCTATAGTCATACTTCTATTAGGCAGAATTCTTATGTGCTATTGCTATGCGAAGATCTGGATTCCTTCTCATCAGTGTGTCTCCTCTTCCATTTTGCCTTTGCAAATAACACTTTCTGATTTTGCCAGTCAAATGGAGCAAGAGTCAAGGAGAAATATGAAGTAAAACTGATAAATATTTTGAGTTCTGTTTATTTGATTTGAGAAGAGCCAACAGAGGGGGTTGTTAAGTATTTATACTGAATGTAAGGTACAAAGGAAAGCAAAACTGTAGCACATAATGGAAGATAAATTGCAGTACAGTGCAATGTACACTATCCTCACGTAAAAAGATTTCACAAAAAGATTCCAGAGCTCGGATATCACCAGATTCCCAACACATACATACGTTTTGTATTTTCAAATTCCCTGACAGCTATAGCCTAATCCTTGGAGTATTTAAGATTTTGTTAAAACATTCTTCTAGGACCAAATGAAATGCTTCAGACCACGCATGAAATATCCTGTTTTCTAAACAACAATAATTGTAATTATTGTTATAATGTTCAGTAGATTCAAAGGTCTGTTGTTGTTAGGAATTTCAGATCTGTTGTTACAGATGGTAAGAAGATAGTGTAGGAAATTATTCTCCACATAGCTTGAATCTTAAAATCAAAGCTGGCATGCTAGACTCCGTAGCTGATTTTAAAGTCCGCAACATACCACCATAACCTCAGCTCCATGACTGTGAAAGAAACCAGTGTGAATGTTTTCCGAAAGACTGCTCTCTCCCCAGTATATTGCTACCCCTGCACACTGCTCTGCATCCTGCTGGAATGAGCAGCCATCTGTGTGCTGAAGCAGTACAGATCTCCCCACTCTCCTGCTGTGTTTTGTTTTTAAAACTTCTCACTTTGGCTGCTAACTAAAGGCAGTTTCAATGCATGGGGCATTGTGGTCTCTAATATTGGTGGAGGAGGGAGAGAGAAAAGGGAGTGAACAGCTTAAGGGAATATGTCTTTCTTGAATAAAAAACTGTTTTGTCTCTTCCAGCCACTCCAAACTCCTAGATTGCCCAGATTTATCTAGCTGGTTTGGGAAGTTGCTTTTTGTCTGCTAGTTGGTCTTATGTATTTGTCGCTTTTACTTGTTAAGGGATTTTGGCAAAAGACTTCCTGTTGGGACCAAAGCTATTCCTTTTTTCACAGTTGGGTTGTTTTTTTGGCATTTTGGTTTTTTTTTTTGTGGGGTTTTTTTTTTGTTTGGTTTGTTTTGGTTTTGGTGGGTATTTGGTTTTGTTTGTTTGTTTTGGTTTTGTTTTGTTTTCGATGTGTGTGGGGTTTTTTTTTATTGTTGTTATTTTTTGGGGTGGTTTTTTGGCTTTTCAAATGAGTTTGCCTCAGGTGTCTCAGTTTCTTTGAGAATAGACTGTGTTTTCTGCTTAATGTTGTGAGCAGCTTGTTGAACTGTTAGACCACCTTTCCCAAAGCAAACATCACTGCTTTAAAACCTTACTGGCATTCTACTTATTGATCTCATCTCAAGTGAGGTTTGTTTCAATAACCGTATTTTGTATATATTAATAAGAATTAGCCCTCCTGAAATCAACCTTTTAACACCACTATACTAAGTGTAGTAAAGAGCCAGCTTCAGCTGGGAGCCTTTTGAGAACAATTTTTCATCACTTGAATCAAGTATCAGATTTCCTCAGGCTTAACTTTTACTGCGTTTTCACAATACCAGTAAAAACTCAAATTCTTGGCAATGGTCTTCAGCATTTCCTTGATTCTGTGCTTTTTCCAAGTTGTAAAATTTCTTCCCTGAATGCCTTAATTCCTCTTTCAAAATTTTCTGAGAATTCAAAGATTACTATAGCTTTTTCCTTTAGAGTTAATAAATTCTGTCATCTTCCCTACATTATTTTCTTTTCTATAAAAATCATGTTCTGTCCTCTTTTACTACCTTTTCAATTGTAGCAATGTGAACTGTTACTCATCTGTTTCTTTCTTTCAAACTAAGCATAGGTAACATCATTCCAAATTTTCCTGCCTAAAAACTGCTGGCCTGCAGGTCCTCACGCTCTTGGATAGCATTGATATACTTTTTTTCCCTCCAAGTTCGTAGATGAGGGTTTCTTCACCTTTGGAGAATGCTTATTTTGCTCTCTAAATTGGTATGACTCAGAAAGCTATTTCACCAGACTCTTATGGTCCTTCCACATTCCTCCTAGTAGCCAATTTCTTCTTTTTCTGCACAACACTTTACCAGCCTGCAGAGGAAGCTTTCTCTAAACCTTAACTTTTCTGATAAACCTTGGAGAAATGTCTCGGAATGGTTTCAAACCACTACAGTTGTTACCAGCTGCCAGACTTCAAAAACCTGCAATCAATGTTTCTTTTTCCTTTGTAACCAGCTCTCTTCTAACACCAAGTGATTCTTTGTAACAAAAATTTTACACATTAGAACCTTTCTGGAAGATGTCTGTGATTCTTTGTGTACATGTCTGTTCTTACTGAAAGAATCTCTTCCTTTTACCTTCCCCTAATGGCAAACAGAGCAGAATAAAACCACTAGAGTAGTTGTTAGCTGAAGCCAAATAAGGTTACCTTATTAACCCCCAAAAGGAGATGTAATGAACTGTTCCCTCAGTTCCAGACTCAGACTGCTTCCATCTAATATGTTGCCTTGGGATATGCAAAACCCTGGACATAGTTGGAAGGTCTTCTTCCCTGGGGTAGGAAAATGATGTAGGCAAAATTTGTGGTTGCCCACAAATTTGTCTTTACATGCTCTGTGAATTGCGATGCAAAGTTCCTCTGTGTTTGCTCTGTGAGACGGGCCTGTGCATGCTCAGTGCTGTCACTAGGCCTGAAAAAAGGAAGACACTGCTTAAAAATCATACTATAGTTCTGAACCTGTTGCTGAGCTGCTAAATGCATCGTAAATGAGCAAGGTGCATATGCCCAGTGCTCTTAGATTATCCAAACTGTGTTGTATACATATAACTAGCTCTTTGTTCGTTGTCATCATAAGTGATGTATAGCAAATATTTTCTTCATCAGCCCTTATGGTAACACTTATTTGGGGCCTATGCCAACACAAGCTGTGTTTCAGGTATGATGTGTTAACAGTATCTCTTGAAAAGGAGCTTTTCTGGGGACTAAGGAGTTGACATACAACATAATTATATTCTGTAGTATAATTCCATTTCTCTAAGCTGTGGTTCTTTAGAGATTATCCCAAGAATAGACATCAGTGTGAAAAGTTCATCGTACCCTCCAGGGGAAGAGCTGCTTCTCTTCCACAGGATTTGCAGTCTCTAAGTTGTTGGGAGGCAAGATTGAAGAGCAGCCTTTCCTCCTGTCAGAGATCATGCATGGGCTGCCAGTAGAGTAGTATTCCTTGATGAAACAGTGTCCAAGGGAAATAGTTGAATATTTGGAGTTTGCAATTTTGCTGATTTTAGCAAATGTCCTGAATAATGTATTTGGTGAAAACCATTTTGTCATCTGATGGATTGAAAACTTGAAACTACTTCTTCAAGAGAAAGCAGGCATAAATTGATGTAAACTTGCCAAGGAATTTTTGGACCCATGTCAGTTTGTGTCCCTAGCTAGAGCTATCAGTGGGAATAAGATGATTATAACTCAGGAATGATCAGTCTCATGGGGCTCTGGGGTTTATCTTTCACATATCTACAGAAGACTAGGTACTTTAACAATAATTATTAACTAGATTGTGCATTCATTTTCCCTAACAGGTAACAGCTTCAGGAAATCAGGGTAAGTCATGTACGCAAATGGGACAATCAATGTTTTGAGGAATATTCAAAGAAGTTAATGTCATTGGATCAAATTGATGCATTTATAGAATGTGTGGTATTTAATGAAAAGCTGTTCTCTAGGAGTTGAATTGCCTTATTTGATAAAATAGACATAGATAGACCAAAACAGACCAGGAAACCTTTAAAAACATAGAGTAATGGCAGCAAAATATGGTCTTTCTTCTGAAAATATTTTTGATATTCAGATTTATCTTTCTTTGGTGCTTTTAGTTTAAGAAATGAGTTTTTCAGGAATTTTAATCAATCTTAATTGATTTCTCTTAAAGCTTAACTGTGAGACTTTAAAATAAAATGAATTAGCTTGCTTCATTTGAATTCAGATATCAAGGTTTAAACATAGAATGCTGGATAGTTGAAAGCTGAAATGATTTAGAGACCTTGACCCTCAGCTATAATGTGAGATTTGATTGGGGTTAAAAGCCTCCCTCTTCCTGGAGCTTGGAACAACTCTGTAGCAGACTGCACATCCAAATGAGTGCTGTAATTTGTGCCACCTTTTTCTAACACATTATACACAGTCTCAGAAGTATTCCTAGAATGAGGAAGCAAAAGCATCTCTTTAATTTTTGCCTTTGTCGGGTTGACCATCTTGGAGAACATCAGCCCAGTATTCAAGGTCTACCATGGTCCTTGCACATACCCAAGTTCTTTTGGGCTTTCACATGCAATACACGTGTGGTTCTACCTACTACATGTATGAAGCTTCCTTCAGGCTTTCTAGGATCTGGTTTCTGAAAGTTGTTAATGACAAATACAGCTTGAATTCATTTGTTTCATTAAAAAAAAAAAAAAAAATCCAAAATGAAAATCTCTACTCATTCATCACTGAACGTGCACAGCCGATGATTACTTGCTGTAGTGTGGATCCCATCCATAATGGTGCAACTAGTCCTTTAGATTTTAACTGATCATACAGAATAGCAACACATAATGTGAGCACTGAGAGAAAAAACCATAGTAGAGTGAGAGATTTTACTGCTATATGGACAATAGAAAAGGGAATGGAAACAGGACATCTATCTGTCTTAAAGGAAGTATTAGCCAACAATTTGTATTGACCTCAAAGAACCCACAAAGCCACATCACAGCAACAGTGTTTTGAGGAGCTTCTAATGTAAGAAAGCATAAGCCTTCAAATCATTTTAACCTAGTGTCTGTTCTAGTCAATGTCTAAAATTTAAATGAACCATCAAATCACTGGTTCCAGAGAAACCTGAAAGAAACACCTTGTCTTCTAAAATTTTGGGCAAAATGTTTCAAATAAAATGTAATATTAGTGAAGCAACCAAGAGAGTAAAAGCAATAATGTAGTATCTTATCCTTTTTGCTAGGAATTTCTATACGTATGAAGAACCTTTTAAAGAGAAGAAAAGTGAAAAGTGAGTTATGTTTAACTCTGTGTACTACCTTTGCATATAGAACAAAATACATACTAAAATGCAAGTTTATAATTTTATGTTTTCTGTTCTTGAAGGTCATCAGAAGAGAAAGAAAAAAATATTCGTGTTGGCTTCTTTCAGCTGGTAATCAAAGCAATGGCTATAAATATTTCATGTGTATTGTGCTGCAGAATAAGTGACAATAATCTATATGGTTATTTTTGGAATAGCTGTGACTAAGACAAATTTTGAAGGATTAAATCATTTGGCATGAAATCCTGCCATTAAAGTCAATGGAATTTAATAGAACCCTTTGTCATTTTGTCAGCTTGGTATTGATTATCAATATTTGTGTTGTAATTGTCAATTAAACACATTATATTGAACCTACATGTAGATATGGGGGAAAAAGTTAAGATGCACAGCAGGGATTTAGGTACCTTGGTTCATTCTTATTTCTGCCAAAAATTTCACGTGTAATATCTGGTAGATAATTTAGCTTCCTTGTAGTAGCTCCGTGGGTATTAGAAGATCTTGTAGCTATAGAAACTTGTGAATGCACAATACTGTGTGGTATGACTAGCATTTGGTGGGTTTGGAATCCCATAGGGTGCATCTAAATTTTAAAGTCAAGGTAGTGGAGAGATGACTAACACAGCAGCATGCAGCTAAGAGGTTTTATTGCTTCTGTTCTGCATGTAGTCTAGGCAGTTAGCCTGTATTGTGTCCAAACTAATATGGGCCTGACTGTAGTGCCAGAATAGTACAGTTACATCCATGTGGCTTGTAATCTACCTGGCTAAGATTCTCAGCTCTTAGTTGGGTGGAGAGAGCAGTCTGTCCACACAGAGAGCTATGTCTGTCAAGCAGAGGGGTTTGAATTCTGTTTGTATTCTGTTGCCTATTTTGCACAGTTGTGTAACAGTTGGTAAACACAGTATGTTTGCATCAGATGTGCTGAGGAGAGATAAGATATCACATATCTCTCTGCCTTTTCTCTGTGTGTTTGTTTTTTTTTTTTTTTTTTAATCAAGGGAATTCCTAGAGTTCTTAAGAGCAAGGTTTGCAAAACAGTGGTAGTGCTACAGTTTTCTTCTGATATTTATTGTAGGAAAACCTTTTAATTATTTCTCTTTTATGTTAACTGACTTGCTTTTCCCTTTATCTTGTCTCTGCCCTAATGTCCCTTTCCTGTATGTGCTCCAAATTCCCACCCTTTCTTCTCTTAGACACATTATAGCACCTACAGAACCTGGACAAGTTCGTCAGCAGTCTATAATTCCTCTTTACACTCCTATTTCAAAACATACAGCATTTGATACTGATATCTATATGGACAGTTTAATCTATGTATTTATGCATGACTTCAACCTGAGAATCAAACTTCACAAATCATGACAAAGGTAACTTAAATTACTGAGTCACTGGCTGCATGTGTACATGCTCTTGGCCTGTGGCGAATGTAAGGTAATAGGTCTAAGCTCAGTCCTTTTTTTTACTGCATACTACGGCATATTTCTATGCATTTCTCCCATATTAAGAGCCAGTGCACAATTGCCTGGCTCAGCCAACATGTTTTAGGATATTAACTATGAGAACTTGCTCTGAGACATTTAGTTGGCTTTTTACCACAGTACCCCAGACTTTTGAGAAATTGGCTAACTTTATTCAGAGGCTCTGCGTAATGCCCTGCGGCTTTTTCCTCCCTTCTCTCTCCCTGTCCCCACAGGAAATCTGCAAAGCAGACCATACATATGAATTATAATTACTATTCTTAGTCTTTTAGCTAGTTTCTGGAATGATGATAATGTGGCATGATACTGAACTATTAATGTTATATGATAATATATTCATTCACATGGTCAGATTCTGCTGTAAGCTAAAAGGGACTTCATAATAATTTATGATGCTGTAATCACAGGTGCAGTTAGATTAGATTGGAGAGAGAGATTTGTCTTCTTTCCGTACTGAAGATAATTCTGAAATTTAAAGACAGTGATTTTGTATGTGATGCACCTGATTAATGATTTATACAACCGTCATGAAGACTGCCTCTCAGCAGAGACCATATTTTTTTCCTGTCTCTTTAGTTTCGATTTTCTTCACCTACGGAAATCTTAATGATGGCTGTTGGTAGTTTCTGTGCTATTGTTCATGGAGCAGCCCAGCCAGCTGTGTTGCTTGTGTTTGGTGCAATGGCAGACACGTTTATTGAATATGACATTGAAATGCAAGAGCTTAAAGACCCAGGCAAGACATGTGTAAATCACACCATAGTGTGGATTAATGGTACTATTCATCAGAATGAAAAGAACACCACAATAAGATGTGGGTAAGTGGTAGATGTATTTATTTCCTTTCATTTGTTATTATGGCTTGTCAGAGACTGTATTGCTAGCGAAGGTCCAGTTCAGCCTTTAAACCTTATATTTTCTATCCATAAGGGAGAAAATGGGCATGGTTTTTGTTACAGAACTGTAGATACTACTTGGAGGCAGAGAAGGTCAGACTGGGTCTTGGTGTTTCAGCTGTAGATGTCAGCAAGGATATTCTTTGATGATTGTTCTGTTAACAGCTGTATCTGCTACACATCTGAGTTAACTAATCTGTTTTCTCTGATAACACCGTAATAATGACTGCTGGTTATTCTGGTTAGGACTTAGGTACCTATAGGTACCTGCCGATTTCTGAGCAAGTTAGCTAAACTTTAGTCATTGAAGAGAAATGAGTGCTTCTAGGATGCAATTTATCTTAGCTTATGGGAGATGACTAAGGAAGGTCAGATGAAATGCCCTATAAGAGTGCCTATGTCTTTCAATTAACAGTAATAAATGGAGTCTAGGTGATTCATTCAGATACAGATATCTGTCAAAGCCAAATTTGAACCCGTAACCTTTCCTAAGGCTCATTTTTCAGTGCATCATTCCAAGAGTTTTCTAATCTCTGAGTAACATTTAATTAGATAATTAATTAGAATTAAAAGTTACTTGTCTAAAGGTCTCTGAAATTCAAAGCACATGGGAAGTAATTCACATTCGTAGAAGTAGGTGACTTGGGCCAAACCATTTTGCTCTAGGCTGTCCAAGCCAGCCCTCTGAGATGGGGCTGCCACATAGAACACAGGATTTGCTACAGACCTCTGTTCCTCTGAAGCAGCAACTATGCACCAGGCAGTATACATTCAAAGACTCTATTAGAATGGTTTGGGTTGAAAGGGACCTTCAGGATTGTCTAGTTCCAACCCTCTTGCCATAGGCAGGGACCAGGTTGCTCAAAGGCCTGTCCAGCCTGGCCTTGAAGTTGGATGGGACAGCCACAATTTCTCTGGGCAACCTGTTCCAGTGCTTCACAGTGAAGAATTCTCACAGTGAAGAATTTCTTCCTTGTATCTAAGCTAAACCTACCCTCTTTCAGTTTAAAGCCATTCCCCCCTGCCCTATCCCTACATGCCCTGTTGGCTGTCACCAACCATCTCCTTATTTTCCATGTGCATAGTTTCCAGGAGGATCTGCTCCATGACGTTAATTGAAGTATTGATAATTATACTGCATATCTGTGAGGCACATGAGTTGTTTCCATGACTGTTTTTTGCAAGAGATCAGGTCCATAGTGCTCCCTTTTGGCTTAAAATTTCAGTGTACCAAATTCAGGGTAAACAGAATAAAATTTGCTGTCTTACAGGATGTTCTGAAAAAATTGCCTAAAAGCATAGTGGATAACAACCTGAAATGCCTATTTCAAAGTAATCTAAATGCAACAGCAGCAACTCAATGCCCTTCATTGATATTAGGAGTAATTTAGTACTCCTGCTTCAGCTAAAAGAAACAATCATTTCAGATTAGCAAGCTTATGGTGCAAAGTAATACTTGAATTGACTTTAGCAGCTCTCATTTCTTCCCATAAGACACTTTGAACTGAGTGATGTTAGTTGCTATAATGGCACAAAGCAAGCACATTCAATATCTAAGGAAAACTTGTTGGGCAGCTCTTCCTTGAAGCACCCTCTCACCTGTGCTGTTTTGGAGCATGCAGCCTGGTGGGGTTCCTCAGAGACTGCAGGGCTGTTCCAGGATGGCAGTGTTTCCTGGTACCTGTCAGCGCCCTACCCCTGTGCAACAGGCAGAGCAAACAAAACACCCGCTGCTAGCAGGAGCCTCAGTATTGGGAAACAATGTCTGTTAGCAAAACAAGCTGACTTGACAGCTGATGTGACTAACTGGAAGAAACTCCAGATTGGCAACCCATGAGGAATTTAAAACAGTGTTGCTAACTCTTTTTTTAACTTTTTCCTTTTTTTTTTTTTTTCTTCAGGCTGCTGGATATTGAACAAGAAATGACCAAGTTTGCAGGTTACTATGGAGGAATTGGTTGTGCCATACTTGTGTTAGGCTACCTTCAAGTCAGTATTTTGTTCCCCATTTTGATTTCAAAGTTTAAATCACTAAATAATTGTTTTCTTTTTAACTGCTTAGTCAGCTGCCAAATTGAGCAGAGCAGAAGCTTTTAGTTCTCATTCTATGGGCTGAAATAGGTTAACTCTGGCAATCTGAGACTTCCTTGGATTTGTGCATGCATACCTTTGTACAAGGATATGTTTTACCCGATGAGATGAATGCATGCTGCTTCTTCATGCAACAAGGAATACTTAAGTGTGGTTACTATGGGATCCACCTACCCTGCCAACGTAGCTGAAGGGCATGCAGTTTCACAGTAGGCATCTCAACTGTGTCGACCCTTGTGTTTCTATTGCAGAGATGTCACAGAGTAATACTGGTGTAAAACTAGTGTTGGAGAAGAATCACACCCTCATATTCTGTAGTAATAGTTCAGTACTATGACTGAGATGAGCTACAAGCTTGGATAATTCCTGCATAATCAACTTTTGAAGTTTTTATAATCTCCAAAATCACTTGCCACTCTCCTTCCTGAAAACTATGCCAGAGTTTTGCTGAAGCAGAATGGCTGCCGTCTCTCTTTTACTTATAGCTGTAGATGGAAACATTTTTGTCTGTATGACATTCATGTAACAACACAATTTAACTTGCATCTCCTCTCAGCCGATCAGAACTGAGACAAATGCTTGATCCAGAGGCTTTATGAAATTCTTGGATTCTTTAAAGATCAGAAGCGTAAAACAACTACCATATTTGTGTAGCTAGAATGTATTTTACCTGAATAGTAATTTTGTGAATAGCCAAATTGCTCTTTCCAGTTTTAGCCAAATTGGTTTTTTTGCATTTGTTGGGAGCACAGACTTTTTACTGAATTTATCAGCCACATTATGCTCTTCCCAGATCTGCTTGTGGGTGATGGCTGCAGCTCGTCAGATACAGAAAATCAGGAAAGCTTATTTCAGGAAAGTAATGCGAATGGATATAGGCTGGTTTGACTGTACATCTGTGGGAGAGCTGAACACCCGAATTTCTGAGTAAGTAATCTAGAAAAAACATATGCTACAGAGAACATTTTGCACTTCCTTCCAAACACAACAGAGTGCCAATAACTAGGCATTTGACAAACACCTTCTAATATAAAATACAGCAATGTTCCTGTGAGCATCTCCCCCATCTTTGAACCAAGTGCCGTAACTGTTAAGCCACAATTATTTTCCTTTTGTGCCTTGTCTGTCAGTAAATGTGGTAGGTTTCTGTTGGATTTTGAGGTCATTTATTTTTGCCAGGTTGTCCTGTCCTTCCCTTTTCCTCCTGTGCCCAGTCCTTTCAGAGTGATCTATAATTTGGCTCCCAGGGCACAGTCCCCCGAGCCTGAAGACCTGGAGATGTGGGTTTGAACTCTCTCACATTTCCCAGAAAGGAAAATTACATTGTAGGCACTCCCTGCTTTTCTTGGCCTTATATATACATATTTAAAGAGCCTTTCTTAATCTTCTGCCTTTAGAAATGGACTCAAGGTGTATGGAGAGACCTTCTTACCCTGGGTAACATTTAGCCCTGAGAAAAGAGGAATTTAAGGTTTGCTCCTTTCCTTGGTGGTTCCTGTTCACAGGCTGAAGTTAGCTTTGAGGTGAATATGCTGACTCTAGATGGCTCCCTGTTCTCAGTCGTGCCTGCATAATAGTGGTCACATTTGCAGAAGATTTTTCTGTAGTTGAAGGCAAATTTATTTGCCTTTACTCACTGCCCAGCGGTATCTATGACTTTCTGTGGTGTTCTTTTTATGAAGAATAGACGCCAAGTGTAAGTCACTGTGAAAAATTTCTCTGGCAGAAAGTAGGAACTGAGCAGATATTTAATAAATAACACTTTGTTACCTGTTTTTTCGAACAACGTTGTTCTGTGCTGAAAAAAAGCTTCCTGGCTGGAAACCCCCCCACCATTTTCCAGAAGAAATATAAACATGTTTTTCAACTGAACACTTACTCTTTCATTTTTCAATAGAGGACTCTAATTCCATTTTATATATCAATGAACTCACAGTTTTGAACACCATTTGCTCCTATTTATTTCAGGAGTTCCCAGTTCTTCTAATCTCAAAGGTGAGGTAGTAGCCAGGAGTGGCAGAAGTATAATGACTGTTTAGCTTTAAGACATTTTTTCTGTGTTGGCAATGTGCAAGGGAGAACAAATGAACTCTGCAGCTGCCTAGAGGTCAAATGATGTTGACCGCTGCACCACTGTCCCCCATACGGTAGAGTTGTCATGTTTTCCCGCTGCCTCTGGTGATAAATTAGCCCTCCTCAGTTTTCCCACTCTCGCTCTCATTTGAAGTACAAACTGCCTGATAGAGTGGAGAGAGGAACTGGGTCATGGTGGAAGGTGGAACTAGAAGGGAATTACAGCCCTCCTCCCTTTCCTGTCCTGTCAGCAGGGCATTACAGTACATTCTTAGTGCCCCATGATGGGAGGAATGCCGTATCAGCTGTACTGTTTTCCCATTATCAGGTAGGTGCATCCAGTTGGGATGTGTCTGCCCCCTCCTTTCAGGGCACAGTAGTAAGAACCAGCTAGTGAATGAGTCTGCTGGCAGGACAACTTTATCTGCAAAAAGACAGTATCTGCTGTATTCTGTGCATAAAATCCTTCTGCCTTTGCAAAGGCACCAGGTTTTCTCTCTGTAGCTCAGGGTCTTTGGAAGGGGTTATGGTGGAAAGAATAGAGGTGACAGAGGGCCCTCTTCAAGGGAAAGCAACTAACCCAAATGTGGCCAAGACCTGCAACACAAGTAAAAGATATACTCACCAATTTTTTGTTGTTTTTTTTCTTGTTTTATTTTTTTCAGCGATGTTAACAAAATCAATGAGGCTATTGCTGACCAAGTAGCAGTCTTTATTCAGCGCTTAACCACCTTTGTGTGTGGTTTCCTACTGGGATTTGTCAGTGGCTGGAAATTGACCTTGGTTATCATTGCAGTCAGCCCTCTGATTGGGTTTGGAGCAGCTGTCTATGGATTGGTAAGTGGGTTGTGAAAAGCTTGTGTTGATGTATGATGAGCAGGGAAGGTCATGACATAGAGCTGGAAGTATTGGTGAAGGAGAAGGCTATTACGCCCCTTTAAAGTCAAGAGAGGCAGATTATGGTCACAGCAGCACTAGAGGATATGGGAGGCGGGAGCCAGCACCTTACCACTGTCTGCCAAAATCCCCTCCCACTTTGCTTATTCTGATTCCCAGAATAATATATCCTGCTTCTAAGATGGAAGTGTAAGCATACCTTCTTTTGGGTCCTGTGGGTAGGTATCATAGTTGCTGAGATCAGAACCTGGCCTACACCTTTTACTACACACCTCTTTTAGATGGTTACTAGGAACGGGGCTTGATTTCTCTGTGTAGTTAGTGGCTTTTAGAGATGATCAAGTTTCAGAGCTGTAAAATAGTTGAAAACAACTGCTCAGACTTACCTCAACCTGTCCCTGCTCCAGGCAGCTGCTGCATCCTCTCCCAGTTGTTCCTGTTCTGCTCCTCCATCCACCCCCTGTAAACTTCCTGTCACTGTGCAGAGAAAAGACAGTGAAGAGGGAAACAGCAGGATCCTCTGTCCTCTCACCTGCTCTTCCACATCCATAAGGTCTGGGCAGCTCCTGCTCCTCCTCTGCACTCTCTCACACTGCTCTTTTGTTGGGTTCAGCCCTTTGGCTATGTCACTTCTATGTCAGGAACATTTTGCTATCAAACCTGTAATGTAACTGACTAATTTCTCGTCTTCCTGCTTTCATTTAGCACCTTGTGCTGGCTGCTAGTTGATGACATGACTCAGTGTGAAGTGGGAGAGCAGAATCCTGGCAGGAAATGAAATAAACCCTGAAATGGCTCTTTCCTTCATTTACAATTTCTTTCTGAGCTCATTCCCCTTTATATTTGTAATTTTCCCCCTTTCCGTTATTTCTCTGCCCCATCTCTTCGCTTTCATGTACCGACTGTTGTTTCCTGCTTATGAGCCTTTCCAGCCCAAGTCTTTGCTTCTTACCATGAAGAAAACAGACCCAAGATCAATCCAGTCTGGTTTCCTGTCTCCAAAAGTGGCTAATAGATGCCTTGGATAGGGTATTTGAAGAGAGAAAGAAATGACACTTCACATTTTGTAGTGATATATCATTCCCAAGCCAGTGTGGTATCTTTGTGTGGAATTGTTCATAACTACATTTTCATCCATTAATTTGAGCTTTTTTTGAGCCTAAGTAAGTTTCTGGCATCCAGTGCTCTCTGGGCTTCTCTGTAGGTACCTGTTTGTTGTCAGCCCAAGAAACAAAGCACAGTGGTGGGCAACACCTGTTTCCATCTTCCCCCACCACTACCATTACCTCTTCTTCCTGAAGCTGGCCTCTGTCACAGTGTCTGAAGAGCTGCTCTTGCTGCTTAAGCTCCCCCTCCCTCCCACCATGCACAAACCCGTAGTCTGCAGCCTTCTTAAGCCCAATTAGCAGCAGAGAGGGAGGGAAGAAAGGAAATCATGTGTTGCCAGCTGCTCTTTCTAGCTACCTGGAACAGAGTTGTTGGCCAAGGGGATAACTGTTCTGCAGAACAAATGCTACAGAGGTATATACCCTAATACAAGAAGACAGAAGTCTTCTAGTATGCAGGATGCCTAATAAAAGGCTGCTTGGAGTGGAAGAGATGACCTCAAGCAGAGCAGACAGCACAGTGTGACAGCCAGCCCTGCTTACCATTGTCCTTGTCTGTACCTACAGTTCAGGTGTAACCAGCACTTATGCTTTTGTAGGCTGTGGCAAAACTAACAGGCCGAGAATTAAAGGCTTATGCAAAAGCTGGAGCTGTGGCTGATGAAGTGCTCTCATCCATCAGAACAGTGGCTGCTTTTGGCGGGGAGAAGAGAGAAGTTGAAAGGTTTGTTTGGACAAATTGTAAGGTTTCTGATATCTTTTTCCTGTAACAACCTAACACTGTAATGCACTTCAGAGTCGTTGCAATTAATCTCTAAGTTGTACAACAGTGACCATCTATTAGCTTTCGGAATTGTATCCATGTTACAGAAATTTAGGTTTCAACTAACGTTGTATGCACAACCAGTTCAGTCAATCAGTGAAATAAAACATCAGCGATACTATCTTCAACTCATTCCCACTTGTAGGAACATACTGTCAAGTTTTCCCCTAAGTGTTGTGTGATATATCACTTTTGCAGCACATCTGAAAATTTAGAGTATTTTCAAGCTAAGTAAGAGAACTAGTTCCAGCAAGACATAATGATTTGATGATGTTAAACTGCAAATTCCTTTTAAATTCATTTAAAAAATAACATGGCTGTAGGACATGCTCTGAAGCATTGGCCATATTCTTGAATCCTGTGTCACTCTGCTAAAACCCCAAACCCCATGGTGAGGTATCTGCAGTGAGCGTGGCTTTTCATGTGCCTATGGCATTAGATCACAGAAGGACTTCCATGATCTGGGAGCATTTCTGGTTTCACCAGTGGTCTACCACTTCAGAGTAAGAGGTACAAACCTTATATGAACCCTCTGTTAACTGTAGCACAGCCAGTCATTGGAGATGACTCGTTTTGTTGGTCTTTGCTGATCGTGAATTTTCAATCAAATTCATTTCGTCCTCTTTTATTTTTCTCTCTTTCTACAGATATGATAAAAATCTGGTGTTTGCTCAGCACTGGGGAATTCGAAAAGGAATAGTACTGGGATTATTCACTGGTTATATGTGGTTTATAATTTTCCTGAGTTATGCATTAGCCTTTTGGTATGGCTCTAAACTTGTCCTTGAAGAAGAAGAGTATTCACCTGGCACTCTTCTGCAGGTACCCATTTTAGCTTGATCCAGCTTTTCTGGACTGTTTCTTAAAACATGCATTCTGGAACACATTTTTGTAGTGTTCTAGTATCTGGTGGCTTAATGGCAACACTCTATGTGGTTTTTACTTGGTATATGTGTGAAAGTATATGGAACAATTGGGTAAGATTAAAAAAAAACCCAAATGGATGTTTATTTTAAAGATTTGGAATGCTGCCTACTGCAATGATCATAATGCTTTTGTCTGAGAGCCTGCTACACAATTAACAGAACCCTTAAACTACCTTTCCCGTTTTGTGGGTAAGCATGTGGCTTCTGTGATACTGGCTTCTCTGAAGAACTTACCTTTGTGATGAAAAACCCCACGGCAGTGAAGAGAAACCTAATCAAAGAAAGTTTTATCACATCTAACCTCTATCTCATGAACAGCTTCTGTTCCTTTGAATCACCATTTCCTGTTGCTAATTGCCCACCCAGCTCTGCAGATAACAAAGAATATGTAAACATATATGCTGATTAAAACACACAGAGCTGTGGCTCCTGCAGTGTATGCAAAAAACTTACTAACCTGTACGGCACTTGTGCATCCACTTGTGCACAGTAGATGACCTAAATGCAATAAATCCAGCATCTGCTGATATTCTGGTTATTTGCTTTGGGCCAGGACTGCCCAAATGGCAGGCTGCAGTCCAAAGACAGAGTGAATTTTTCCCAAACCTTAATAAGGCCTGGCTATTCTGATGAGACATCTCTTTCTGCTCCTTCTCTGCCTGTTGCTCACTATGAATGCTCCCAAACACCAGCAGCATGCAGTGCAAAGCTTCCTGCTAAATGGAGCTTGGTAAATTACTCTGAGAACATTGTAAAATTGAGCCATTCTGTTCAAGGAGGATGTCCCTCACTGGAAATCATATGCAACTGCTCTTGACACCAGTAGCTGATAAAAGGTGAAAAACAAAGTGAGCAATTTTCTTGCCTTGCACATGATAACTATAGTTCAGTGCTTCGAAATGACAAGTGCAAATAGTGGGGAGCTACCCTGTAGCTGAAAAATTTGAGCTGTCAGTGGAGAGACTCTCCCTTATGCTCCCATTCCTCTTTCAGTTTCCAGTGATCTTTCTTGTCCTTCATGTTTTCTACCCTACCCTCCTAGTCTGGCATGGGGGAGGAAGGGAGGATTTGTAGATACAAACCATTTAAATATGCTTTGCTTGGTTTTGGAAAAACTGTCATGTTTTTCGTGACATGATCAGCCATACTGCACTGAGACACACTAAGCATTGCTCTTCCCTTCTTCTATCAGATGTATAGAACCTGCTCCCTAATGTTCATGATCGATTCTGACATGCATATAACCTACTTGCTTGTGGAACTCTTTCATACAAGAGAATTAGTTTATAGTAAAGCTGAGTGTGAACTTACGCCATGATCTATTCATCACAGTGTTGATGTTTGCAATGCACAGTATGTGTACAGTAGCTTCTTCCACTTTAGCCATGGCTTATTCTCAGTAAACATCACCATGGTGCAGAGGAGAACTGAGTGTCATGTACTTTTCATTCTTTCTCAACAGTAGCATTTCCTTACACACGTTGCGCATTTATCCTGACTATTAGTTGTGTTGTATTCAAAAGGCTAGCTGAGACCTTGATTGCTTCTTAGCAGAATTCTCAGCTATTTCCAAACTACAACAAAGAATTAAATACTGGTTCTAATGCTCAGGGTGAATGTTCAAACTATCAGCCACAACAAAGAAAAAAAACCCCGTGTATATATATATAATATATTTGTAGAAGTAGTTTTTATTGTCTTTTATGGCAGTGGCCAGATTTAGCTCCATCTGTGCCTTCGCCTTTCTAACTTTCTCTCTACATAACCTAACAGCATCTTTGTACTTTTCATGGGGTGACAGTCATTCTTCCACAGGTGATAAATTCTCTCAAGCAGTATCTCCCTGCTCAGCCAGGCTGATCTCTTCCCCGACAGTTTGATTTTCGGCACAGAGGGACTGCCTGCTCCTGTGCCTTAAGGAGTTCGTTCTTAAAGAGTGTCCAGCCTTCCTGGACCCCTTTGTCCTTCAGTAATGTTTCCAAGGAATTCTGCCAACCAGAGTCCTTAACAGGCCAAAGTCAGCTCTCAGGAAGTCTTAGGTGGAGGTTTTGCTGATCTTCCTGACTTCTCCAAGGATTGAAAATTCAATCATTTTGTGATCGCTTTGCCCAAAACAGCCTCCAACAAAGGTTGTAGTAGTCTTTTAGGCTTATTTCTGGTTTTGAATTGTTGTAGCTTCCCGTCTGCTTATTGGTAAAAGACATGTCCAAAATAATTTACTTGCCACTGATTATCAGTTCCGGCCCTTGTTTCAAGGCATAGACACCCAGTCAAATTGAGGTGGCTTAAAAATACATCAGTGGCACTTCAGTAAATATTTGGGTGCACACACTTTTAGGCCAGGGCAAATATGAGGTAAGTTGATTTACTTCAGCCTGGAAGCAAAGTTGTGAAAGAGTGAAAATCCCTTCTAAGATGCATTTGTTTGCTTTCTTGTGGGCTAATTATGCACATATAGTGAATCACTGCAGCTCAGCTGATGCACAAGAAGCCATTAAGCCACTGTAGTTTGATTTGCCTCTCTAAGCTCTAAACTGTAATAAGAATGTGATGTCATATTTTGTTAATTTCTTTTTCCACTTCTTCAGGTTTTCTTTGGTGTTTTAGTAGGAGCTTTAAATCTTGGTCAGGCATCTCCCTGTCTGGAAGCCTTTGCCACTGGCCGTGGGGCTGCAGCAAACATTTTTGAGACAATAGATAAAGTAAGTAGTGCATTTCTAAAGTGTGTCACTTTGTAGTAGAAAAGATAACTAAATAAGCCTCCAGCAGTAGTAGTTTTATGTACTGTGTAAATGAGGAAAAATGAGTGCACTTAAAGGAAAATTGACTGTGCAAGGGCTAGCAGCACGGACATGGACTCACAGAGGATGTCAAACAGATTTCTTAAGCGGCCTGTTTCTGAATAATGAAGTTTTATCTCAGCTACTACTGCTCCTTACTCCCATCTCTCCTTACATACAATTACTGATTAGTGCTGGCCCATGGGAAGTGTACAGACAGGTAGTAATATCCACCTTGCAGCCAAACTCGCAGCAAGCATCTAGCCCCCAGCCTCCAGATGGCATCAAAAGATGTAACTCTATTGGCATTAGTGGCAAAGGTGGCCTCTGTCACTTCTCCCAGAGTTACCTGGGATTAAAATGGGACCAAAGAAGCATAGGCACTGGCCGTGCAGCAGCTATAAATGGTAATCACAATATTATCCAGACAGAGAGATATTTGAAATAAGGTTGTATGAGAAAGTCTGAGAATCACTGGCATTGATTGACGATTCCTTTCTGTACCTGTATAAATTAGCAGTTGGCAAAATACCACTGATTTCTTAGCAGTGTGTAGATCTCTGGTTATTGACAAGCTTTATTGTGCTGAAAGCTCTGTAAACACATTAAAATGCTGCTTGTCTTTTACAGAGCACATAAGGGTATATAAAGAAGGCTAGAGGGGCTGTGGTAACGCTAATGCGCTTTTTAGTAACCCCTCAGTGTTCTATAATAATGGTAACACATGCCTTACGAATGCACTTCGTAAGTTAAAGCTCTAAGATAAAAAGAGATGAATAAGGAAAGTAGGTTTTAGAGAAAAAATTAAAAAGCACGAAGAGTTGGAACAGGTAGAATTAACCACAAAATTCAAAATAAGGCTGAGTCAGATAACCTTACATAAAAAGGAAAACTGAAGTGAGATTTCATCTATCTAGAGAATGGGTAACAAAAGTAGATCTATCTTCTTGCTGCATTTGTAGATTTGTGATTAGACAGTAAAGCACAGCTCTGCCCTGATACAGCATTTTTTTTCTGGCACTACACTTAAAACCATGCTGAGATTCTCATTTGCAGGATCAGTGAAACTTTTCTTCATAGCTTAGTATATGAATTTAAGTCAGATATATTCCTAAAGAGGAACCGATCTTTTAGCTGTTCGTAACATCTTAAAATATACACATTTCTTGTATTAAGATTCCCTTCAATTTGTTAGGCTACATAAAAGAGCATGCATGTTTCAATTATTAAATATTGGTATTGCTGTAGTTTTAGTTCATTCTCTGTATTTCATGCTTCAAAAATTTATCCTCAGAAAGTCTGATTTCTTTGGGAATCCTCAAATTTCTCTTGGTTCTCTGCTCATGTCTAGCAGTCCTAGCCTGCTAGAACTAGCCAAAAGTATATGAGAGCCAAAGCATTTAATGGGAAAACATCAAATCAGGATTCCAGCTCTTAGGATTGAAAACATCAAATCAGGATTCCAGCTCTTAGGATTGTGTGTGCAAGGATGGATGTTTCAAATGCAAAGTGGTGAAGCATGTAGATTTTCAGCAGTGAACTGGTGGTTCTATGCTGTAGGAGAATGTGTATATGAGTGAAGTAGTGCCATTTTATTCCTGAGGAGCCAGTTAAATTAGTTTAGTCAAAATGCCTCACTCAGCTGTTCTGTTCCAGCAAAAACTAGCTGAGTGGTAATTGCAGTAAGCTTAAAATGATAGAAGGTTGTCCTGGGTTCAGCTGCAGCAGTCTTTTTTCTCTTTCTTAGTAGCTGACGACAACAGTGCATTCTTCTTCCCACAGTTACCCACCAGTGACAACTCCCCCATCACTTTGGCCTTCAATTTCAAGTCCATTGCCTGCTAGCCCTGAGGCAGATCCTGCTGGTGGCTCAGTGCAGTCAGTTGCTGTTAAAACAGAAGTGCCATGGCTTTGTATGGTATCGGGGATATTTTTCTACTGCAGCAGTGCTGGCTGTTTAACAACAAATAAGTAACTCAACAAATTCTGTCCTAGAAACCTGCCATTGACTGCATGTCAGAAGATGGCTACAAGCTGGATAAAGTACGAGGTGAAATTGAATTTCATAATGTAACATTCCATTATCCCTCCAGACCAGACGTAAAGGTAATTATTCATCATCCCTCCCGTGCACACAATTACTGTAAGGAAAATATCCCAGTTCTGCAGCAGTTTAGATAGAAACAAGTAGAACTTGTTTCCCGGAAGCCCAGCCCCTGTGTTTAGAGGTAGGCTAAATAATTCTTTGATTTACCATTGTGCTTATTTTACCATTCTGACATATCCATTGCCATACATATTCCTTGCTGCTGAATGTAAACTCGTAGTAATTTCAGACAAATTCACCTGCATACGTCTCTGACTACCAGTTATGCACTTGTGTCAATATGTGCTAGAGTAGGGCACAGTGTAATAAGCTGAATGGTGCAAGGAGATTTTATGACATTCTTCTATTCCTGGGGCTGTATCATGTGACTCATTAATGTGCTAGGAAAAGGTACAGGACCATTGACTGTGTGCCCCATTATTTCCCTACTACTGTGTTTGAACTGACAAATTCTCCTTGGAAAAGCATATTATTGGACAAGCAAATGAGTGCTATTGCTTGTAAAGACAGAGGTGTATGAAGTATCAGATTTTTCTGCGTAATTTCAGTGTTATATTCTTAATATTTATCCTTTAACAGGCACTTACAATACATCTACAGTGTTCTTTAAAGGGGATTTATTGCCAAGTTCTGCAATGATAATAACTTGACTAGTTCTTAATCATGAAGAACAGGAACAAAGAAAGATCAAAATCTGCCTGCCTGACACACAAATCAGGGCTCTGCATTTATAAACTCTTCAAACAATGTAAAAATATTTGGCTTTCTCTTTCCTCTTTCTTCATAGAATTTTTCTGAATGCTATAAAAATGCTTTGAATCTCCATTTTAAGATACAGAATATATCCACTTGGTTGTATGACTGTGAGAGAATTGGGATGGATTGAGTCTGTTTCTTTTTCTTCTTTTCTTTTTTTCCCCCACAGATTTTGGATAACCTTAATATGGTTATTAAAGCAGGGGAGACAACAGCTTTTGTTGGAGCTAGTGGAGCCGGAAAAAGTACAACGATTCAGCTCATCCAGCGTTTCTATGATGTCACTGATGGCATGGTGAGTGTACCAGCCTAGAATGTGTTTCTCTAGCCTTAGGAACTTTGAGTGAATGACTTGGTTTCTTCTCTGAGGGTGGAAGGAAGACTCCTAAGTTTATTTTCTTTTCTTTCTTTTCTTTTTTTTTTCTTTTTTTTTTTTAAAAAGGTGTGGAATTGCTCTTGTGCGTTTCAGGGGAATGATGAACAGTCTTCTAAAAATAATTATGTGAAAGAGAAAAACTGTTAGGGATAAATAAAAATTAAGTACTAAATCTTAGTAAAAAGTATACCTGTACATATGATATTTCTGGAGTGACAAATCATTTTCCATTCTGGAGAACACAAAACCAGTATCAAACATTTAATCATTATCCCAGAATATTTCTTTAGTATAAACAATTACCATTTGGTAATGGAATGGCTAAGAATATGAATTACATCTATAAATGCTTTCATTCCACTTACGTGTTACTAGTTGACACAAATCACACACATGGTGACCTATATTTGAATGTATAAAAGACAAAGGACCATTTTATTTTAAAGATACAATCATAATTTTGATGTTACTTTCCACCTGGTTTTATTTCTGAGGCCAAGCAAAAAGAGCTATTGGGTAATGAAATCAAAGAGCCAAACTCCTAGGCCCAAGAACTAGCATATATTACTGCCATTGCACTGCATTATTTTGTGTATGAAAGCTGGTTTTAATGCTGGTCATGAAAAACACCAGGGAAGGGCAACACAGGCCCTTCATTTCCTTGTATCTTTCTTTGTCTCTGATCTGGACTGGGTAATGGTTTTTTGGTTTTTTTTTTTGTCCCTGTTTTGTTTGGCTTCTGTAGATTACCCTGGATGGCCATGACATTCGTTCCCTTAATATCCAATGGCTACGCTCACAGATTGGTATTGTTGAACAAGAGCCAGTGCTGTTTGCCACCACAATTGCAGAGAACATTCGATATGGTAAGGATGATGCTACCATGGAAGACATAATCAAAGCAGCCAAACAGGCCAATGCTTACAATTTCATCATGGACTTGCCACAGGTATGCTGTGCTTTGTAATTATGTTTGGCAGAATTTGACAGAGAAATAGAGAATCCTTTTGTTCCTCCTCCCATGCAGCCATTTGTGCTCAGAACAGAAGATTACTATAGACAGTAGGCAGCAAACTTTCCCTTGACTAATGGGGTCGTACTACGTGTGTATCACCAAATTAAAAAAAAAAAAAAAAAAAAAAGAAAAAATGAGTTCCTCAGGGAATCATATGCACAACATTCAATATCATGGTAATAATCATAGCTGATTTTAAAATATGTATTTTTTTATCCTGTGGAGATCTGGTTTTGCTCAGGCCAAAAGCAACTGAGAGCCCAGACTCTCACTACCCAGTACATAATTTTGAGCAGTTTGTACTGATCCTCACAACTTCATCTCCTTGTACTAGTTCTGTAAGTTCCCTAAAGGTTCTCTCTTCTCCATTTCCTTCCACATTTGATAGTACTGTGCTGTTTACTTTTCTAGAATGTTATTTTGGCAAGTATTTTCACAAAGGAAGGTGTTACAACAGTGAACCAGATTGACAGGATTCAAGTACCATTAACTAATGTCTAGGTACTTTTTAACCTCCATCTATGCATTCCAGGCTTCCAGCAAACTTATCATAGACAGACTGTGTAAAGACCTCTGTTTATTTCCTGGAAATGGAGGAATGAATAAGATTTGGCTCTAGGTGAATGTAATTATCCTGGATGTCAAGATGCTAGGCTTTATGTATTTATTTAATTCTCTACCTGAACCCAATGCCACCAGACTATGATGGTCACGAGTCACAGACACAGTAATCGTGGCTCACAGACCATCGGGAAACAAGTTGTCATGATATAACCCCAGCCAACAATTAAGTTCCACGCAGTCGCTCACTCCCCCTGGTGGGATGTGGGAGAAAACCAGAAGAGTAAAAGTGAGAAAACTCGGTGGGTAAAGGTCAGGACAGTTTAATAGGTAAAGTAAAAGCCACATGTGCCAGCAAAGCAAAACAAGGGATTCATTAATCACTTCCTGTGGTCAGGCAGGTGTTCAGCCATTCCCAGGAAAGCAGGGCTCCATCATGCATAATGGTTACTTGGGAAGACAAACACAATCACTCTAAATGTGCCCCCCTTCCTTCTTACTCTCCCAGCTTTATGTGCTGAGCATGATGCCATATGGTATGGGATATCCTTTGGGCCAGATGGGGTCAGCTGTCCCGGCTCTGTCCCCTCCCAACTTCTTGTGCACCCCCAGCCCGCTTGGTGGGGAGGTGGGGTGGGTTGGGACGCAGAGAAGGCCTGGACTCTGCAGAAGCACTGCTCAGCAGTGACGAAAACTTCCCTGTATTATCAACACTGTTTTCAGCACAAATCCAAAACGTAGCCCCATACTAGCCACTATGAAGAAAATTAACTGTATCCCAGCTGAAAACAGGGCATAAGTTCAGCTCTGTAGAAAGTTTGCTGGTGAGTCATCTGATGGACAGTGGGCAGGTTTTTCCTCTCCATTTCAGCTTTTGCTCATATACTCATCTCGAGCCAAATCAAAACATTTCACCTTTTTATCAGTACCTACTTTTGGCTTGGGGTTGGAACCCTAATTCAGACAAAATTATGTTTTTCATTATGAAGGAAGTTATTTCATCAGCTCTTCTTTGAATTTGGTGCACTAACAATGTTTTTGTCTTTAAAAGACAATATATTTTGAAGTCTACCCCAGAACAAACCTGAGACACATTTTATCCATGTCTTCACCTGGAACCTAACAGACCTTTTTGGGGTTTTTTTCCCTTCACACAGCAATTTGACACTCATGTTGGAGAGGGTGGAAGCCAGATGAGTGGAGGTCAAAAACAGAGGATAGCTATTGCTCGAGCTCTTGTGAGAAACCCGAAAATCCTGCTACTGGATATGGCTACGTCAGCACTTGATAATGAAAGTGAAGCTACTGTCCAAGAAGCACTTCATAAGGTTTGCTATAGCATAACATAAATCAGACTTAAAAGGGCAGAAATTATTTTTAATGCACTCTGCAGAGGGTGCTGCTGAATTGCAACAAAGCAGTGAGAAGCTTTTCTTGATAGCTGGTTCATACACACAACTAGAACCTTGGTATTAGTGCAAAGTAATCTTTTCTTTTATTTGGACATGAACAGACATCTGTAGCTCCCTTTGCTCAGAAACAGGGGCTGTGGATGGAGGTCAAGTCAAAGTCAGCTGAAACCACTAGAGAGACTGCTGTTGAACAAACTTTAGATTACATAGCACAGGCTCCAAGCATTTGTGTTTGCTGCCTTGGGACTGGGGCTGTTGTTGTTCCTTGTCAGGCTCACCTTGGCCGCACAGCCATCTCCATAGCTCACCGTCTGTCAGCCATCAAAGCTGCCGATGTCATCATTGGCTTTGAGCATGGAAGGGCTGTGGAGAGAGGAACTCATGAGGAACTCTTGAAGAGGAAAGGGGTGTATTTCATGTTGGTGACCTTGCAAAGCAGTGGAAACACAGCACTTAACAGAGAAGCAACAGAAAGTGAGTATTATGTTTTCTTTTACAAAATGATGTAAAAATCACAGAATGCAGATTTATTTATTTATTTATTTTTTAAGTATAATTCTGCCTTTCTGGCTGAATTTCAGCATTCATAGAAGTAATACATTGATAGCCCTCACCAAAGTGTTCTTACTATATATGCACTGAATGATCTTCCTAATATAGATCTGTCCTGAAACATTAATTCTGACTTGCAATACCCGTCATTTTATAGCTCCATTTAGTACTGACAGTCCAGCCCTGCTGCATTTGGAATGCAAGAAAATTACAGAGTATGCTGAAACCACCCTATTTGATTTACTAGAGGCTTCTGGGAATGGAGGTCTAATACAATGATCTGTTGTATTTTTGTGAAGCATCTGTACCTTGGATATTATTATCTTAAAAGAAGAGAGTAATTACAGTGCTAAAATAGGGAAACAGCCTTTAGCAGTTACAATCCAAGTGACATGGTCTTCAGGTTAATATTCAGTTAACATCATCATGTCAAACACAAATATAAAACGTGTGGTACGTGTAGGTTGAGTAGCAAGGTTGTACTACATTCCTTGCCTTCTACAAAGTATTCCAGTATGACTTGGAGACATTGCACTTTCTTGCAGAACACAGTGGACTTAGGTTGTATTCAATTTTAGCACAAACTGAAGAGTTCTATCTACTATATTTTACAGCAGCAGGAAATAATGTGGTTGAGCCAAATCTTGAGAAAGTGCAGTCATTCAGCAGAGGAAGCTATCGGGCCAGTTTGCGGTGAGTCTTAAAAATGACTGTAAATCTCAGTATGTCTCCAGCTCTATACTTCATCCCACTATTCCAAAATCTCAGTAGTGCTAATGAATCATTTCTCTGTATGTTGTGTAAAAGAGCCTGGAAGGGCTACAGGCATTTTACTAAGACAGAAGTTCACTTGGAAAGAAATAGCTTGGGTAATATGCTCCTGATTGAAGGGCCATGGATAAATTTGCTGTTTGATCTTAATTTTACTCCCCTTTCTATCCATAATGCCTTCCCTCCAATTCTGGTCTCATGTGTTAATGTTCCATTTTTAATATTACTACCACAGAGCCATATATTTGTATTGCTTAATGTGCTTTCAATGCAGTCACTTGAAAAATGACTTGCCATGCAATTACTTGAGAAATCAATGCAATGTACAAGGACGATTTTATTATAGCTTCTACTTGATGAAAGTTAATGCATTTTACAAGCCAGACTGTTTTGTAGCTAGGCACTTAATATTTCTTTCAGGCAAGCCTATGACAGGCATATGCAAATGAATACTTGTCTCCTACATAACAGGGTTATTTTTGTCAGGGATAGAGGTGGGTTTTGCTGGACTGAATTGGTGATAATGGTGAGTTGACTTAGTGTCTTAAGGGCTTGTGCAAATGTAGTAGGATACACTGTGATTTTACTTCGCAAATACACAGGGCAGGGCACATAAAAGACGATGTCTTAAGTGGTGGTGGTGGAATGTGATTTGCAAAAGTATTTGTCCCTGTTGTGGGATATTTTCTTCTCAAGAACTTGAGAGAATGTAGAAAAAGAAAGAAAATGTCCATGGGATTCCTATGATTTGCTTCATTGAATCCTGATTTAGTTGATATGAAAACTGCACCTGCTTTGCAAGCAAATAATGTGTTACTGTGCTGTGAATAACAGACCGTTTCTGTCCTTTTTACAGGGCTTCACTTCGGCAGCGCTCCAGATCTCAGCTCTCTAATGTGATCCCTGACCCTCCATTGTCCATTGCAAGAGATCATGCAGAGACTATGACACCTTCTTATGGAGAAGATGATCTACAAGCGAAAAAGGTCAGGTCTATAGTTTGTTATTAAGTTTTCAACCCAACATTACTTGGTGATGATAAGCTATAGATTTGTGCCTCTGTTACAGGAGTTGTTGGCAGATACATCTTCTTGGATTGATCTTTTTCTCAAACAAAACCACAGCGTCAGTTCTTATCCTCTGTAAACCCTAGGCTGCATTTTGGTGGCAGTTATGCTTACTGGCCCATTTCTACCAGAGCATGACCTGTTGGTAAACTAATATATGTTGTAAATTAAGTTGAAGAAGACATATTCATAAAAGTTGAATTAAGTGGCAAAAAGCAAAATACCCAGTCTGTGAAATGGAATAGCCACTCAGTGATACAAATAACACTGCTTCTTGTTCAATAAAGAGTAAATGGACTTTCATGTTAAAATCATCTGGAGACTTGTAAAGAGACACCCTCACTGCAACCTAACTCAGAGTCCTTTCACCGATAGTGTCCTTGTGCAATCAGCTGGCATAGAAAACAAAGACAGCGTGCCTTAAAATCATGCAGAATATTTAGGAATATAACAGTGGGTTTCTGACGTGCTTCTGAAGCTCCCTGCACCAATTTGCGTGGCTATGATTGTTCAGTGCAGAAAGCAGCAGTTAGAAGTCACTGTTCTTGCTATTGGTAAGTCTAGTCTGTGGATACATAGAGGGCTTTAGTGCTCTCCCTCTGGTAGTAGCTAAGAAGAAAGAAAATACAGGATGCTTCCACCCAATCATCCTTGCACAATTCCAGCAGATAGGTCTTCAGAGTGCCCGTTTTGTCTGGGCATTTCCAGCCATATGAACTGAGGGAGATGAGCAGGGCTCAGCTCACCGGGAGTTACAAAAATTCTGCACAAATCAAGCTGCAGGGTTAGGGTAAGTTATAATTTGATGATGAATATTCTGATCTTACTGGGCATAATTACAGGAGTTCAGCATATAGTCTGAGGATGTTACACAGAAGGGAGGCGTAGTTAGCATGTATAAAGCCTGAGTCCAGCTACTGCTCTGAGATTTTCCTTGGTTTAATTTTATAGCATACATACTAATTTGATGTAGAGTCTGATCAGTGTGTTCACCCACAATACTTTAAAATAATATTTCTTAAGATTCCAGTAGTGATGCAAAAAGCTCCTTGTGAGGGAGAAGTTTAAGTTCTGGCACTGGGTATTGAATCACACCTTGGTTGAAGGTAGCCAAAGGGGAACAGCCTGAATTTCAGTGGCAGAAAGTCTTAAAGTGGTCGTAATCAACCTCTTAAGTTACAATCAGTAGAGCAGCCCAAGGCACGAATCTCTCTTTTTCTCCAGGGACGGTAAAGGTGACCCTCTTATGTGACTCTCTTGTGACTCCCAAGCCCTACAAAAGAGATCCAGACAGCAGCCAAGACCCATCATTGTCCCTTCTTGTACAAAGCTAGAACAGCTGTTAGGGCACTAGGTGGCTATTTAACAGACTAGGCTAACCATTATCTCACTGTCAAAGGGAGAACATGACTGGAGGAATGCATTTGTTTCATAAATATAACTTGTTCTTTTAGGAATCTGTTGTGGAGGAAGATGTCAAGCCTGTATCATTTACCAGAATTTTGAAATACAATGCCTCTGAATGGCCATACATGGTACTTGGATCTCTGGCAGCAGCTGTGAATGGAGCAGTCAGTCCACTCTATGCTTTGTTATTCAGTCAGATTCTTGGGGTAAGTTATGCTAACATTTTAAAGTCTATTTTAGTTCCGAAATAGAGGGGAGTGAATGTATGATGCGGAACTTGACATGTTTGGGGCAAATCTTTATATCTCATCAAGTAAATGGGGTTAGCTGCCTTGCCTATAAACAGTTACTCAGTGGAGATATTTATATCATTTGAGCTCTTAGGGGTAGGCTCATTAGCGTTTCTCATGTGTTCTTCATTATCTTGCTTGTTCCCTTTCAAGGAACTGTTTGGAGTTGGTTTCTGTAATTGCATACAGTTTGTTTTAGATGAGACGATGTACCTCACATGCAGTTACAGTGGAGAGAGAGACATGCAGAGGTCCTGACCTGCAGGATTTTATTCTGAAGACTTGGCCAAGACTTTGAGAAAGTTTGGGGTCAGATCAAAAAAATACTTCACTATTTTGTTCGTATATTTCAGGCAGCTCAGTGATGCCCACTCCCTGCAGAATGACCAGGGAAAGGTAGATAATTGTGATGGGGTTCATAGCTGACAGCAAAAAGTAGTCATGTATCAACAAGTTTGGAAGACAAGCAGGGAACAGGAATATGCTTTACACTTGGCATTCACTAAAGGATGTATTACCACCAAAATCCACAGCCTTGCTTGAAACTTTTCAAGAGTTCAATCATGATTATTTTTTCCTTTGAAACCAGGATGCTTCCCCTTTTGTAAAACAGCTTTTTGGCGAAATGTTTGCCAAGTTAGTGGGAAACTGGGGGGCTACCTGGAGAAATTCAGTGCTGCTCAAACTAATGCCTAGGAAAGTGTCCTAAATTTTCAAGAATTAGGAGGATAGAGAAAACCCCTCTGTTGATGCTGTTTCTTATAGGCAAAGTAATGACGCATTCATGGGGAAGAAAATGGGAATACCACTATTGTTTTGTGGTTTGTGTACCCACCTGAGATAGGGTAGAACTTGTGTTATGATTCCCAGTTACTTGCTTAGGTCACAGTAGGTACATATGTGTGCAAAGAAAATATGACCTAAAGGGAAGTCACTCTTCTAGAAACTGGAGGTCCG